ACTACATTCCTGCTTCTACACCCTGTTTCGCGCTACACTGTCAATGGATATACTAACTGATCGGATGTACACACATCAATGCGTCCAGGATGGTCCATGCACATACGATATAAGCACGTTTGCCCGCACTCAACCGTACCCAAAAGCAAGTTGTTTTCTGAAAACCGTTGTGTACCGTTCACCAGGAGTCCATTTGCCCGTCACTACCTGCAGTTCGGCTGTAAGCACGAGACCGCTACGTTCCAAGCAACAGTACACACTGTAGCCTGTGAATCTCATTGTCAGTGTAGCGCGAAAGAGGGTGTACCAAATGGCTGGGTTTCCAAGCCTGGTGAGTTGTGTTCTCGTTGCTGGCCCCTTTTTTTCTTTTCTTGGTTTTGTTTCCTGAGTTGACCGGAATGAGTTTGTGCCCTATGCAATGTAACATTTTCAGAAGTGCATGCATATTCTTCTCGCTTTATTTAGTGCTCAACATGTTTTACTTTTGTTCTTTCCCTGCCCGTGGTGTTTTCAGCCCCATGCTACTACCGAAGTGCACATTTGCTCCAAGGCGTGAGGGCAGGTGGGGTCCAGTCGAGTCGAGCCTTCCCTTCCCTCCCTCCCCTTCCCTCCCGTCACCTGCAGGCAAGCAGCAGCCAGCAGAAATAAGGCCATTTCGAACCAATCACATACCTTCCATCCACACGATAGTAGCCGAGTCGCGCGAAGGTTAGGTTATCGCGTTGCGCGACGGAAAGTGCGTCGCCGCGTTCGGGACATGAGCTTTGGCGCGCGGCAGTACGTGAGGGACCGCGATGCGATTTCCTGAAATTATGCATTACAAGCAAGCATGTATTCACACCTGACTTATCCCGCGATCCGCCACGTCTGTCTAGCTTCGGAAGGGTGTGGGCAACAATCGAGGCGTGCCTTGCCTTCCCTCCCGTCACCTGCGTGTTGCAGCAGAGGAAACGGCCATTTCGACTCACTAGTACCCGCCTACCATCTCCTACTATCACCTTCTATCTCCTACTATCACCTCGTAACCGCCTGGTTCTCACCCTCGAGCGGCACGGCGTTTTCTTTTAAATTTCAGAATGCGAGCATTCATTCCCCCGTTTCGTAGTTTCGTAGTTTCCCAGCAAATTAGCTCCGTGTATATTTTCGATTTCTGCTTCTCGTTCCTGCTGACGTGTGCGCGGTCCTGGCTGGCACGCCATGGGGACCTTTCAAACACCTTACCTACTCCATGTCTACCCGTTCCCCCGTCAGATCAAGTCTTATATGCCATCCCGTCCACCCAAGCATCACCTTAACTCTTGTCCCCCTCCCGTTTCTCCCCCTCGTCGCCTGCAGGACGCGGCCAATGGCTGCTGCTGGCGTCGCCCTCGTGGTCAGTCCCATTCCCCCGCCCCTCGCAATGCCTCTCCCCCTCGCACTCCGCCCTTGAAGGGCGCCAATCAGCGGCTATTTCCTTGCCGGTGCGCCAAGCAAGGGCGATTTCGTTGCTGGCGCGGCAACTAGCGGCTAATTGGCTGATGGCGCGGCAACAGAGGCTATTGCGTTGCTGCTGCGCCAACCAGCGACTGCTTCGTTGCTGGCGCGGCAACCAGCGGCTGCTGCGCTGCTGGCCTCCGCGGGCAGTGGCGAGCGCGCGAGCGGCGAGCGGCGTTGATGACGGCACACCGTGGGTGCTGCTGGCGTCGCCGTCGTGGTGAGGCCCGTCGTCCGTCCCATCCCCCCCTTCCCACCCCTCGCAATGCCTCTCCCTCTCCCTCTCCGCCCGTCAAGGCTTCACCCCGCCCTGTCCACTGCGCCTGCGCCCTCCGTCCTCGCAGGTGACAAGGCGTCCGTGGTGGGGTGAGGACGAGGGGTTTCGGCGCTGTGCGATCGGATCGTTGCTACCACCTCTCATTGCTCGCACGCACTGGCCGTGTCCGGGCTGCCTCGCTGCTGCAGCGGCGACGAGAGCGACACGGGGGCGGACAGCGGAGACGTTGGGGTGAGTCGGTTCACACTCACCAGTGAGCTCGCTTCACACTCACCAGTGAGCTCGGTTCACACTCACCAGTGAGCTCGGTTCACACTCACCAGTGAGCTCGGTTCACACTCACTAGTGAGCTCGCTTCACACTCACCTGTGTGCGAGGCATATTTGGTTTGACTTAGTTGTCATTTCAGATTTGATTCAGTTGTCATTTCAGATTTGACATGGTTGTGTCATTTCAGACTTGACATGGTTGTGTCATTTCAGATTTGACATGGTTGTGTCATTTCAGATTTGACATGGTTGTGTCATTTCAGATTTGACATGGTTGTGTCATTTCAGATTTGTCATGGTTGTGTCATTTCAGATTTGTCATGGTTGTGTCATTTCAGATTTGACATGGTTGTGTCATTTCAGATTTGACATGGTTGTGTCATTTCAGATTTGACATGGTTGTGTCATTTCAGATTTGACATGGTTGTGTCATTTCAGATTTGACATGGTTGTGTCATTTCAGATTTGACATGGTTGTGTCATTTCAGATTTGACATGGTTGTGTCATTTCAGATTTGTCATGGTTGTGTCATTTCAGATTTGACATGGTTGTGTCATTTCAGATTTGACATGGTTGTGTCATTTCAGATTTGGCATGGTTGTGTCATTTCAGATTTGACATGGTTGTGTCATTTCAGATTTGACATTGTTGTGTCATTTCAGATTTGACATTGTTTTGTCATTTCAGATATGACATGGTTGTGTCATTTCAGATTTGACATGGTTGTGTCATTTCAGATTTGTCATGGTTGTGTCATTTCAGATTTGACATGGTTGTGTCATTTCAGATTTGTCATGGTTGAGTCATTTCAGATTTGACATTGTTGTGTCATTTCAGATTTGTCATGGTTGTGTCATTTCAGATTTGACTTGGTTGTGTCATTTCAGATTCGACACGGCGCTGTGCGATCGCTGCTACCTCTGTTTTAGCACCTCTCATCTCACCTCTGTTTTAGCACCACTCATCTCACCTCAGTTTGCCCCCCCCACTCATCTCACCTCTGACTTAGCACCACTCATCTCACCTCTGTTTTAGCACCACTCATCTCACCTCTGTTTTAGCACCACTCATCTCACCTCTGTTTTAGCACCACTCATCTCACCTCTGTTTTAGCACCACTCATCTCACCTCTGTTTTAGCACCACTCATCTCACCTCTGTTTTAGCACCACTCATCTCACCTCTGTTTTAGTTAGCACCACTCATCTCACCTCTGTTTGACCAACCAGATTTGCGTGGGTGTGAGAGGGGGGGCGGAGGGGACTGAGCTTGAGGGATGGCGAGGAGGCAGCCAAGCCATTGCGTTGCTGCTGGCAACTCTGGTATGGACCCCCCTTGGGATCCCTGGTTTAAACCTTAAACCCTCTGAAATTCTGGTCCAAACCTGAACCCCCCTGGAATTCTGGTCTAAACCTTAAACCCCCTGGATTTGTGATTTTGACCCCCCCAACCCTTTGAATCCTTGTTTAAACCCTAAACTGTGGAATTCTCCGATTTCCATGAATTCTGTTTTTATCCCCCCCATGAAAGTCCATGTTGACCCCCCAAGCTCCCATGAAAGGCCATTTTGACCCCCCATGCTGCCATTTTGAACCCCCATGCTGCCATTTTGAACCCCCATGCTGCCATTTTGAACCCCCATGCTCCCATTTTGAACCCCCATGCTCCCGTTTTGACCCCACATGCTGTCATTTTGACCCCCATGCTGCCATTTTGACCCCCCATGCTGCCATTTTGAACCCCCATGCTCCCATTTTGAACCCCCATGCTCCCGTTTTGACCCCACATGCTGCCATTTTGACCCCCATGCTGCCATTTTGACCCCCCATGCTGCCATTTTGAACCCCATGCTGCCATTTTGAACCCCCATGCTCCCATTTTGAACCCCCATGCTCCCATTTTGAACCCCCATGCTCCCGTTTTGACCCCACATGCTCCCATTTTGACCCCCCATGCTGTTTTGGGGCGGTTTTGGGAGCTTTTGGGGGCCTTTTGGGGGTAGGGGGACTTAGGGGGACTTATGATGTCCCACTCTGCCCTGCTCCCCTATGCGTCTTCACCAACCCACAGGGAATGATGCCGGACGAAGTGGCCTACAACGTCGTTCTAGCCAGCCTCGCCAGGCTCGGGCAGATCGAAAAAATGGAGGCCTATCTTGCGCGCATGCGGGCAGACGGCGGGCAGCCCAGCGGCGTGACGTACAACATCCTGATTGGCGCATACGCGCTTGCCGGGCAGTTTGAAAAAACGGACCTGTGTGTCGAGGCGATGAAGGAAGCAGGAGAAAGGCTGAATGTGAAGACGTATTGGTCCCTGATGGGCCGATATGCGAAACGAGGAGCGGTGGAGAGGTTTTCCAAAGTGTGGGAAGAGGTGAAGCAGGCCGGGTTGCCTCTTGACAGGTGGGTTCTGTATAGAGTGGTGATTTCTGTGTGTGTGGTTGGGGGTGGTGGGAGGGGGGAAACGAGGGGAAAGGTGGTTGGGGAGAGGGGGAAGTGGGAGAGGTGGGGAGGGGAAGGGGCATACTAGGGGAGAGAAGGATGAGGGAGGGGGGATGGGGGGAAGGTTTCGGAGGAGTCGCATTGTGGTCTGGTTGTGAGTGGATAAGTCTCCTCCCTCCCTCCCTCCCTCCCTCCCTCCCTCCCTCCCTCCCTCCCTCCCTCCGTCCCTCCGTCCCTCCCTCCCTCCCCTCCCTGCCTCCCTCCCTGCCTCCCTCCCTCCCTTGACTTTTGAGTCGACTCAAAAGTCAGTTCGGAGGGCTTGCATTGTGGTCTGGTTGTCTGTCTTCCTACCCTGCCTCTTTCCCTCCCTCGCTCCCTCCTACCCTCCTTTCCTTGCTTCCTTTCTTTCTCTCTCTCTCTGTTAAACAAAAAACAACAACCCTCAAACCCCTTCCTCAAACCCCCTCCCACCCCTTCCCGCCCCTTTCCATCCCTTTCTTATTCCCCCCCGCCCCCGGCCCCCGGCCTTTGAACTTACAGAAGCATGTACCACTCTCGAATCGAGATTCACAGCCGAGCAGGAGACCTGGAGAAGGCAGAGCAGGTGAGAGGGGAGAAAAGAGGAGTTGAGAGGAGTTGAAAGGAGTTGAGAGGTTTTGAGAGGAGGAGAGAGCATACAAGGGAGCATGTATCACCCCGGCCCCCGGCCTTTGAACTTACAGAAGCATGTACCACTCTCGAATCGAGGTTCACAGCCGAGCGGGGGATTTGGAAAGGCAGAGCAGGTGAGCGATGGGTGGTTAGGACAACCCACCCACTACACTTAGCTGAAAGTTTGGATACGGGGACCAGAAGGCTTGCTGCGGCTCGAATCCTTCTTCACTCTGCAGAGCAGGTGAGCGATGGGTGGTTAGGACAACGTGCTCCTAGTGGCTCTGCGCAGGGCGGGTGTGATAAGTCGATTTTTGAGTCGACTCAAAAGTCGACTTATCACACCCGGCGATGGGTGGTTAGGGCAACGTGCTCCTAGTGGCTCTGCGCAGGGCGGGCAGGCAGGCAGGCAGGCAGGCAGGCAGGGCGGGTAGGGAGGCAGGGAGGCAGACCCGACAAGATCCCTGCAGTGCTGCACTCCATACCCTGTTCCCTATTCCATGTTCTCCCGCCTCCTCCCATCCCTCCCTTCCCTCCCACCAGGCCTTCAACGAGATGTGTGCGCTCATGCCCCCCACCACGGCATCATTCAACGTGCTCCTAGCGGCTCTGAGTCAGGCAGGCAGGCCTGACAAGATCCCATCTGTACTGCAGTCGATGCAGCGGTGGGGTCGACCGAAAGACCCCGGGACATACGTGCGCCTCATTACCGCGAATCTGAAAGCTGGTGAGTGGTGTGTGGATGGGTTGGTAGGGCGGGCAGGCCTGATAAGATCCCCTCTGTGCTGCAGTCAATGCAGCGGTGGGGTCGACCGAAAGACCCCGGGACATACGTGCGCCTCATTACCGCGAATCTAAGAGCTGGTGAGTGGTGCACTGCATAAGAGATGTGTGGTGTGTGTGTTGAATAAGGGATGGAATGTCAGTGGGGGCGGCCCAAGGATCCCAGGACATACGTGCCTCTCATTGATGCGATTCTAAAAGCTGGTGAGTGGTGCTCCCAGGCCATACGTGAGTGGTGCGCAGCCGCTCCTCATCCCTGCAACACTCAGCCTGGCCGGCAGGCCTGACAAGTTCAGTGCAGCGGTGGGGGCCCAGGGACCCCACTGTACCCCTCCGTACCCCTCCGTACCCCTCCGTTTTGTCTCCTTTCTCTGTGCCTTCTCTCCACTGGTGCCTGCCTGGCAGGTGATGAGGAGGGTGCGATGAGGGGCCTGCGGGAAGCAGCAGCCCCACTGTACCCCACCATATCCCACCGTACTCCACCGTACTTATCCTTTCCCACTTCTGCCTGGCAGGCGACGAGGAAGGTGCCATGAGGGCCCTGAGGGAAGCAGCAGCCATACCGTACCCCACCGTATCCCACCGTACTTGTCCTCCCCACCTGGTGCCTAGCAGGCGACGAGGAGGGAGCCATGAGGGCCCTGCGGGAAGCAGCAGGCCCACCGTACCCCCAACGTATCCCACCGTACTTATCCTTTCCCACTTCTTCCTGGCAGGCGACGAGGAGGGAGCCATGAGGGCCCTGCGGGAAGCAGCAGGCCCACCGTACCCCCAACGTATCCCACCGTACTTATCCTTTCCCACTTCTTCCTGGCAGGCGACGAGGAGGGTGCCATGAGGGCCCTGCGGGAAGCAGCAGGCCCACCGTACCCCCAACGTATCCCACCGTACTTATCCTTTCCCACTTCTTCCTGGCAGGCGACGAGGAGGGTGCCATGAGGGCCCTGCAGGAAGCAACAGCTGTGGGAATGCAGAGGAACGACCAGAAGCTTCCCTTTATCGCACTGTACCCCACTGTACCCCTCTGTGTTGTGTTTGACAGGCGACGAGGAGGGTGCCATGAGGGCCCTGCGGGAAGCAGCAGCTGTGGGAATGCAGAGGATGGACCAGAAGCTTCCTTTTTCTTCCTTGATCCAAGTGCTCATACCCGCCCGGAACAAGGGCGATGCCCATCGAGTGAAGGAGATAATCGGCCTGTCTCGTACCCTTTATAAGATGACTGATCCGCGCCTGTTCCGCGACCTCATTGTGACTATAGTGAATCGGTGGGAGACGGAGAAGGAGACGAAGGAAAGGGATGCTGGAGAGGAGGAGGGGTGGCTGTTGGAGAAGGAAGACGATCCTTCCTGGAAGCGTCTGGTATCGGATGTTTGCGGGGTGCTGAAGGATATGAAGGAGTTGGGGATCGAGCCGACCAAAAAAACATATCAAATTCTTGAGTCTCTGGGACTCTCACATCTAGTGTTGGAGAATGCGTGATTTGTGGGGTGGGTAGGTACACTACAAAGTGATTTTGGATAGATAATAATAGTATACTTGGTTATGTTTTCCTTCTGGAATGTTTCAGTTGCAAACTTTATTTCAACCACCAATATCTATTGTGTACTTCACAATATGGGACCTATTGTCATTCCTGGATTATATTTGAGTAAATGTGGATGATGGGCCAAACCAGGTGAAATGAAAATGTTGTTGAGAAACCATAGTGTAATTGAAGTATTCTAAGAGAGGGCGTACCAGTCACCACATCGACCAATCGACGCAGGCAGTGTCTGACGATTTCAACAGCTGTCAGATATTTCAGCCACGTCATTTCATGGCGTGTGCGGCGATTGTAGGCCATGCAATAGATTCATTGATGTATTCTTGGATAAACTGTCAGTTGTGACATCCGCAGAACTTTGTAGACCACAGAGCATTGGGCAGATAGAACGGGTGCTAAAAATGCTACCGAAGAACTCATGTTTGGATTGGAAGCATACAAAATACTCTTATTCCAGGTGTGCCTTGTCACACCTTCATGAATGTGTACAGCGGGTCAACATCTTCATTCTGCCCGAGGACCTCCCTTCCCCTCTGTCTGACACGACAGCTCCACGCAGGCTTTCCAGCAGCCCACACCACACGCTCTGATTCACCAGGTCAATCACATATTTTTCATAGGCTTTTACCCAGGTTTACCGAGGTGCGTGCTGATGATTTTCAGATTTCAGACGCATTTTCCCAACCTGGAATTTTGCTGTTTGCACCTATCGCTGTAATCTGGGAAAGCTCGCTGAACTGAACATCACATGCATTATGCCTTCCCCATTTCAGTGGTAGAATCACGATGGATTCCGTAAATGGCAGAATGGTTCCTTTCGAACCAAAATTCTGACCCCTTCCTCGCTCTGTGATTTCGACCACAACTTGGGTCACTGAACTGCGGGTAGGGTGCCCAGAATGAAAGGACACAGCCCTCTTTCCGCGACAATAGCCGTGGCGCGGGTTTTCCACGTCAGGCCGTAAGTGATCGCACGCTGGGCAAATTTGAAGCAAACTGCCAGATAAAGATTTGCAGTTGCTTGCCCTCAGGGGAGCGAGCGAGAGTCGTCGGATCTGGTTCCGGGGCTCAGATTTGTGCGGTACACTATGGGGCTGGTGTGAGGTCAGGACTTCTGCTGGTGCGTGCGTGTGTGAATTGACCAAGTCACAGACACGCTTGCGGCTTTCGCTTCGCTTTTCGCACAACGATTGTCACGGCAACGATTGTCTCAAACCTTCGTGACGTTTAAGCACAACTGGTTACCAGTGTCGCTGATCTCGCCAAAACTTGTTCACACCACCTGACTGAGGTGAGGGAAGGAAAGCCAAGCGTCACACCAGCCACAAGACAAGATCCTCTGTTTTTTACAGCGACGCTGATGTTCCTGGCCTTCCCGCGCCTCATTTTGGGAGTCCCCGCGAAGGAGGGTCTTGGACGAAGGGCAGCCATAGTAGGGCGTCTCGGAAAGTTCTGGGCAGGGGAATGGCAACAGCTGTTCGAGGCTGCCTCTGCCGCGTTGACTCCGGCGGCGCGACCTCTTGCCTTCTCCTTACCTGAGCGAGATGCTGATGCCATCCGTTTGGCCCGATGTCGCACGAGGTGCCAAGTGGGGGAATGGAGTCGAGGACTAGCATGCCTTACTGCGGGCGACTTGGCGCAGCCCTCTCAACTAACAGTAGACCGGCTGACAGCAAAGCACCCGGCCAGTGAGGTGCCAGTTCCTGAGTGGGTGGAGCACTTTCGCATAGACGTTTCTCATCTTCCCCACCTAACTGAAGACATCCTCAAGCATGCTATTCATTCCGCAGCGCGAGCCTCAGCACCAGGCCCCTCAGGATGGATGACAGAGCACCTCCGAGACACATTTCTCTCGGAGCCTTCCTATCTCCCGCATCTGTTGGAGGTGTTCAGGCAGTGGATTTCGGGATGCGTTTCTGAGCGGGTGCGGCCCTGGCTTGCAGCCTCGAACTTGGTTGGGTTATCCAAGCCGAACGGGGACGTCCGCCCAGTGGCTATCGGAGAGGTGCTCCCTCGGATTCTGGCGCGTGCGTTATGCGTTCTTCTTCGTCCCGACATGGAGACCTACTTCGCTCCTTGTAACCAACTAGGGGTGGGGACTAAGTCAGGGGTGGAGATTCTGGCGCATGCTTTCCGCTCGGCTGTAGCGCTTCATCCGACGTGGTGCGCGCTGCAGATCGATGTAGCGAATGCCTTCAACTCGTTCCATCGGCACGTGATGTTCGACGGCCTCCGCGATTCTCCTTTTGCTGGCCTTATCCCTTTCTTACGCGTCTTTTATGGGGTGCCCAGCGGTCTGTACCTTCGCACAGGCCCCTTTGTCGAGATGCTGGCGTCCGAGCGGGGTTCGCGACAGGGGGATCCATTTGGTCCCTTCCTTTTTGCTTTCACGCAGCAGTTGGTTATGGGGCCTACAATGAAGGATTTCCCTGATCTTCTTTTCTTGAGCTACGCTGATGACACCTACGTTCTTGGCCCGCGGGAGCGGGTGTTGGCGGCGTACGATGTCTTGCGGGAGCGACTGGAGTGGGTGGGCTTGGAGGTGCAATCGCACAAGTGTAGGATGTGGGAAAGAGGGGAGGCGGCAGCGTCTGAGGATATTCCGCTGGGAATGCAGCAGTCGTGGACGGGGTTAACAGTGGTGGGGGTACCTATTGGAGAGGAGGATTGGGAGGTGGCGCGCTTGAGGGAGAGACTTTTGCAGCTGCGATCACCTCTACCTTGGCTTCCTATTTTGAACCACCCCCAGATTGCCTCCCACTTGTTGGCTGTTGCCGTGTCTGCGCGGCCGCTCTTCTTGACTCGCACTGTTCCCCCTCGTCCTGAGGTTCTTGACGCTTTCAGAGATTGGGATGGGGCTTTGGAAGAGTGCTTTGAGCAACTTTTCCCGCCAGACACTTGGGACTTCAGTCTTGATAGGTCGCGCATGGCTCACCTGCAGCTGCACCTCCCGGCTCGTTTGGGCGGGTTTGGCATTCGTTCAGCAGCAACTCTTAGCCCTCTCTCTTACGTCTGTGGGTGGTGCCAGGCTGCGAGTGCTGTTGTCAAGCTGGGAGTAGCGGGCGAGGAGCAGATGTTCAGTGAGTTCTTCCGCACTCCGCCGGCTGGGGATTTACTGGACCCTTGGTTTACCAAGGCCCTTGACCAGCTCCCGCCTGTTGTCAGGCAGGAATTGCCGAGTTTGGGGCTCTGCACTACAAATCCCCCCCTCCAGCTTTTCCCAGCGCAGCAGCGTCGCTTGGCGGTTGAAAGTCTTCAGTCTCTGCGGCGCATGGTCCGCGATGATGCTACCTTGGCCCGTTTGAATTCCCTTCAGGGCCCGGGTTCGGCAGCATGGGTGTCCGCAGTTCCAGCGCATGATGACGCAACTTTCACCCCTGTGGAGTGGGGCATTTCGGCGGCAATCCGTTTGGGCCTTCCCGTCCACCAGCTTCTGGTTGCTGGCAAGTGTGTTTGCGGTGTGGAGTTCAAGGACCCGTCAGATCCGCACCATGCTCTTCGGTGCAAGTACCAGTACGCCCCGTCTCGTGTTCATGATGCAGTGAAGCTCGTTGTTGCTAAGATAGCCAAGGCATCGGGTGGGGTGGTTACGATCGAGGATGACACGCTTCTGCCGGGGAAGAGAGTGGATGTGGCGGTTATGAAACCAATGGACGGGGAAAAACATGCGCTCGAGGTGAGCGTCGTGGATCCGGTTTCGCTACCGGTGCAGCAGCATGGGCAGTGTGGGCGGACAGTAGGTTTTGCTGCCAAGGAGCGAGAGAAGAGGAAGGCGACGGATTATCAACCTTTTCTGCGGCAGCACAGGGGGGTTCGTTTCTTCCCGTTGATTCTTGAGACTTGGGGTTGCTTGGGGGGAAGCTTTCGACAGTGGTTACGGCAGCAGGGGGAGGTTCAAGTAAAGGTGGCTCTTAACAAAGGTGTGGGAAGGGGCAACAGCTCGGGTTTCTCGGAATACTTGGTGGGGTCCTTGACAGCCGCGGTAGGGGTAGCTTTGCAGAAGGCATAGGCTCGGGTGATTCTTTTGCGGGCGGCATACACGTTGGGTCAGTCCGAGGCGGAGTGGGTGGAGCGAGGGGGTGGGGAGCAGGAGTTTGGAGAGGGAGCACCATGGGTGGACGTGCCCTACTTGGTCGACATGCGGCTGTAGATGTCTTAGGAAGCAATACTTTGTTTCGGGTTTTGGCGATGGTCTTTTGATGTTTGAGGTAGTAAGACACTTCTAGGAAGGGTTTATGCATGTCTGTATGCTTGTTGAAATGTAATTACAACAGCGAGCCCTCCTTTCTGCGGCT